ATTATACCTGTGTTACAGTAACTGTCTCTTGCCGATCAGTTGGGTTTTGGGCATCTGTAATCTTAGATACACCAAGTTGGGTCCCACCTGACATTGGGAGCTCAGGGCATCTATGCGAAATATAACATTACATAGTACATGTATATAGAGAAATGTAAAACTGGTGTCGTATAAGTCTTCAGACAAACCTATAATAAGACCACTAGGCGTAGAAGGCTAAGAAACTGAAGAAACAGAAACTTACTTGGAAATCCTAAGTAAAGAGGTAGCACAAACTTTCGATAGTGCCATTGGACTGATGAAAGCCTATAAAACACCTTTATAGTAACTGTTAGATAAACCAGATGACAAAGATGTATAAAGGAGCACATGACCAACCAGGCCACTGGAATCGCTAAAGAAAAAGGATACATAAATATACCATACTAGGCCATCTGGATTGGGAGTCTGGGAAGTCAGTTAGTTCTAAGTTGCGGCTAGTAGGGGATGATGAAGAAAAAGTCAAAAAGATGGGTACCAGGATTTGGGTGAACTTTACAAGGGTAATAGCAGTTTAAGGGATAACCCTGACTGCAAGTGTTGATCTTGGCCATAGCATTAAACCAGGTTAGTAGTAAAAGAAAATACGGCTCACTCTGGTAGGTTTACCTCAAGGATAAAAATAGTCTAAGGATTATAGTTCTATGGTCGATAGTGAATAGATCTGGGTCTGTAACTTGGTGAAATTAATACTAGGGTTAGATCAAAGGGTTTAAATAGAACACCTAAGCAGGGGTGTTAGGTATGGCAACTGGTGGAGAACTCTCGGGCAGACTCCTTAAATAGGTAATATAGAAAAGTTACATGTGTAGCCAGTTGTATACTCATCTAATAGTTTATTATAGATATGTCTATATAAAACATGTATCTGCTATAAGTATTAATAAAAAGCTCAGACCAAAGAAGTCACTTTAATACTGAAAAAAAAAAAAAAAAAAAACAGCTGAAGCTTATTTTGAAGCTGTTGGTTAATGTTTTCTATCTGTGATAGAGCTGCTATTGGATTATTTTTATTAGCAGCTTTCTTATTTAGCTTTAAGAGTTGTTTTTAAAGCCTTTGAATCTTCTTTTCTGGAGCAGAATTAGGCTTAAATGCTCTAATTATAAATTGTATTCTGCATTTGCAAAGGTTCTACTTTGAGAAATTAGTAATGCTTTAAAGTTCTTCAATTACTTCTTTTTTTAGCAGGTCATTATTCTAGCTATTTTTGCAAAATCTTTATTGTTTTGCTTTAGAGTTTTCTAGTGAGAGATGTATTTTGCATTTTATCATTAAATGATCAGAATTGCCAAATTGTGTTGTTACATTTTTACAATAGCTATTATGATTACTACCTATAAAGATATAATCAAGCCTTGTAGCTATTCTGTGATCTGCACGAGTGTTCTGATAATAGGTCATAAATGAATAATCATTTTCAAACAGTAATGCAGTATCTGTAAACTTCATTGTAAGTTCTTTGAGAAGATTTCTTGTAAGGCTATAAATAATAGGTGCATGACTAATTTAATCTTTTTGTGGATTCAGATTCGTGTTAAAGTCTCTGACCAAAATATTAATGCATTTATCATCTCTTAGAGAAACCTAGCTATTGAAAAATTTGAGCCTATCTTCTATATTTGGTAGTGCATAAACATTGTTTAAAAGAAATAGTTAGTTTTCATATAGGAAAGTTGCTGTGATAACATGGCCATTCTGAGATTTTATAATGTTTTCAAATGAAATGTTTTTGTTTCCTGCTAATATTGCTGTCTTGGAGAACCAGTAAGAGCTATATCTCTATTGCTGTAAAAGAAAATTTCTTGTATTATTGTTTTCTAAATTTGTTTCTTGTAACATAATTATATCTAATTAATATGATTTAAGTAAGGTCAGTGTTTTTTGTGCTTTGTCTGAATTGTTTAAACCTTTAACATTAAATGTTGCAATTGTAATTTGTTTAACTATTAATATTAAAAAAAAATTGAAGATTGGTAAGTTAGATTAAGGTCTTTTGGTTCTAAGACCAGGATTCTTTTTAGGATTCAGACTCATAACTTTGTTTCTTTCTGCATTCAATACTTTTGCTTTATCTTTGTGTTTTTTCTTTAATACTACCAATTGGAATTCATTGTCATTATTGCTGATGAAAGAGAATTTAGCAACCTTGAAGCTATTATAGAGAGTGGTTAGTGGATCTACTATAATATTAGTATCTATAGTATGATTTTTTATTAAAGAATTGTTTAGTTTCTTTGAAGTATCTTTGGTTGGTTCTTTTTCAGCTGTCTCAGTTTTAATTTGAGGCTGATCTATATTAATATGACTATCCAGATTCATATCTGCTGAGATTTGCTTATTAACGTTATTAGCATCTAAGTTATTATTATTTTTAATATAAGGGTTATCTGTACTAAAGTCTTCTAACTTGAAGATTTGGTGCTTGGTAATTTTGTTTTGAAATCTTTGTAATCTGCATGCTTTTTGCATAGCTCTAAGTTCTACTGAAGCTATGTACTCAGTGCAT